CTACTTTGAAGACAATAAGATTCAATAAGATACCCATTCTGGTTTGACTATTGTCTTCTTTGGAAGTCCTGTAATGTTTACAATGCCTAAGTTTTATTGGTCTTGTTCTCTACTGTTTTGTCCAACTTTATAATATCTAATAAGATAGACAATTCTTTTTAAGGAAACAAGGGACAACGTTGATAACCATTGTTGATAAACTTGTACTCTGTTCTACACCATGTGCTACGTCTATCCTTGGTATTGACTGACAGCTTTGTTTTGCCATATTTGACTGTATTCTTCCCCCCCCCCCAAAGAAAGTAATAAGCACTAAGGAGTAATAAAATCCAAGATGTGTAAATTTTGTTGTAAAAAAGAGAGGGAAAAAAAATAAAAAAAAAAAAGAAAAGGAGCTCTAACGGATATAACAGCAAGTGTGTTTGGGGGTGTTAAATAGCTGACTATCAATGTTTTTGGATCATTGAACACAGCTGTTTGCAGTCTCCCTGTTTGAATGTCCACCTTGTGTTCTTTGATACTGTGATTTGAGGAACAATTTTCAAGAAAATAGTGTGTAATCTACTAGCAGGTAATTTCTTACTGTTATGGTTTTTTGTTTTGTTTTGTTTTGTTTTGTTTTGTTTTGTAGTTCTGTATTGCGTGTACCCTTACGCCGCTTTGGTTTGTTTTGTGTTTTTCTCTTTTTCCTCTTAAATAAAAAAAAAAAAAAAAAAAAAAAAAAAAAACAAATTGTGTGCGTGTGTATGTGTGTATATATATATATATATATATATATATATATATATATACTATAAAATCTCTTAGAACACCATTTCAAAAGAATTTCTCAAATAATCCACATGTAATATTCGATTAAATAAATCTTGGAATGGGAAAAATAGTGCTAGGTGAAAGCAAAGAGATTTCATATTTATTCTTTTTTTGCTCTGCTTCAGAGAACATATCAGCTACTGTAGATATGTCATATACAACTCCAGTTAGGGAGATGCATGTTACTAACTACATGTGTAGATAGAATGCAGCTGAGAAACATTACATAGTATGTCAAGTAGAGTGGAAGTAACAGTTCACATCTAGGTCAAAATTTAAACTTCGACTATTGTCCCTTCTATAGTAGAAGCCACAAATTGGTAGATTTCAACTCAGTTATCCTAGCGTAGTAATCTGGGGCAGTCAGGATACCCCTGTGATGGCCTTACATTAACTTTCATTCACTGTCACTAAGGGTCAATTCAGTGAGTCCTATCTTCCCTTAGAAGACTATTCGCCCACTTTAGGAGATGACAGCTGACTTGTTATTCAAGAAGTAAGACCAATAGACCAGCAAAGTTCAACACTGTGGAATTAAAGCCAAAACTTTGAGGGTAGTCACCACGGACTGAGACTTAGAAGACCAAGGCTGCTAGCAAGCCTCGTGTTTAAGGGATCTGGCTCAGTTCAGGCTCTCTCTTAACTTATGCATTACATTTGGTCATCCATGTCTTTTCCTGGGAATCTATTTCATCCTCTTCTCTTAGAGGAGGATGAGGACCAACTTACAGCAATGATTTTTCCAAGGAGTTTTAAACTACAAATCCATTTCCCAAAGTAAATAGAATACGTGAGTATTCATGTATATGACTGGCAAACTTTCTAAACTATTATTTTTTTCTTTTTTGCTTTGTGGATTTCAATTTTTTTTCTGATGAAGGACCCAGATCTTCAGTAAGTTTTAGGTGCAGGAATTGTGGTTTTCTTCCCCAAGTTGCAAGCTACTTTTCCCTTGAAAAGCTACATAAGACAATTATGAGACCATGATGTGGCATGGTTTGTAAACAAGATGAGAAAGAGCATGCCTTTGAGAATTACATGATCACAGAGTAAGATTTAACTCTGTGTCACAAAAGATGTAATATTTTGTGTATTTGGGATGTAGAGGCATTAAGTTCAAGCCAAATTCCGCCAGGCAGTGTGGAGTATTAGTGACCTGACCCTGCAGCCAGATATGGTAGGAGGATTCAGCAAGGTAAACCCAGCACCCACAGAGACATTTGTTGAACAAAGTGTCACACAGTTTGTGTTCTCTAAGCTAAGAACTTCTCAACAAGGAGGAGCCTGGGTTATATTAGATATCATGCATGTAGCAGTAACCATGAGTACCTAAATGTTACAGGTATTTCCCCATTTTCTTCTGTGGCAGTCTCCCAAATTCAAGTTTCATTCTGCAGAATCAGGCTTTGTAGTATTGACAGGGATGATGGTTCACAGCAGGCTGACTGGATATGTGTGTTTCCTATAATTTAATTTTCTGTGATGACATTTATATCTGTTCTTGATCAAACAAATGAAAACAAGGCTGCCTCATTATCTTCTCACCTCCTGGCTCCGCATATGAAAAGCTCCTCTTTAAATCACTTCGTAACTTCACATCTGAAAAGTGTATGCTTAAGGTCATTTCTAAATCTCATACAGTTTTGTAGTATCTTGTGATACTATTGGTAGAACCTGTAAGCAGAAATATAAATAATATATTTTATTTCACTTATTTCCCATGTAGGCCTCATGGGACAATCTGGAGAATGGAGAGGGAGTGAAATTGGAAGTCTGTGACACTGTCAGTTTCAAAGGGCTCTGTGATTATGTACACCATAGACCCTATGGCCCAGCACTTTTTTCTTTATTGGTACCTGTGATTGAATTCAGGACCTTGTGCTTGCTAGACGGGTCTGTGTCACTGAGCATAACCTGCAGCCCCTGGCCTAACCCTTTGTAAACCTTTTAAAAGAAACTGTTCCAGTCTAGCCACAGTCAGGATGAGTTTATAGTCGTAATCGCAGAAAAAAATATTGAAATTCTAATAAATAAATGTCAATCGACCAAGTCCAGTGCAAATCCTGATGTGAATAAAGATTTAAAGGAGTATCTGTAGTTGTAGAGAAACAAGGGGGTCCTAAGTCCAGTGGGAAAAAAGGCCACAACCCAAGGCTGAAGTGGGTGTCATTAACTTATAAAGAGAGGACTGGCTTTGATGTCCTGGGTGGGGTGATTTCAGGAGATTACAATGTCAAATCAGTGTCGCCTGGTAAGGACAGGACTTGGTAGACTGTGACAGTTCTCCGAAGGATAAGAATGGGCAGCCAGGTGGCTGTAAGCCAAGGTAAGCCTTGGTCTTAGAGGAGAATGGAGAAGGAAACGAATTTAAGGTGAGGGTGAAGAGTCATTCAGGTTACTCTGCACTCTTTGTTTATCCTTAAAGCTGTGGGAGAGACATATCCTCTTCAGGGATATCCTTCCTCTACCTAGCTTCGTAGGGCCCAGTGGTGACCTCAGTGGTGCCTGACAAATCTCTAGCAACTATGAAATCATCCCCGTTCCCTCTGCATGTGACACAGAAAGAGATCACATGTTCCCTCTGAGCCCCAGGAAGTGAGATGTACACTTTTTCTTCTGTTAGGTCTTAACTTTAGCCCCTTAAAAAAGAGATGCTGTGGAGAAACTAAAGTGTTTAAGGAGGAGCTGGTTAACTGTTTTGAGAGCGGATTTGGAAAGGTATTGATTGGAGAAGGAATGGAGGAGGCAGAAATCATCAGAACGATGTCACTGTCCTGCTTAGCATGGGGTTGGTCTCTAGGAACCAAATAAATTGAGCAAAGAAGAAACCAGCCTTCTTACTGAGATGAAACATTTATTTATTTGCTAGCATCTGCTCTAGAGTGATTCTAGATTCAGCTCCAAGTAAGATGGTTGCTCATAGAGGGAATTTAGTTTTCTGTGTGCAGTCAGCTCTGTTTCATAGTTTTCTTTATCCAGCTTAGAAACCATGAGACTTCGGTGAATACACGTGGTGTTGTTCCATTCTTTGGTCCATAGGAGACAATGCCCTGTGCCACATTATTACACACCAGGGGGCCTCCAGAGTTGTCGTGAGTGTCTAGAGCACTCTGAACTCCGGGCAAGGTAAACACGCACGCCTTGTCGGGACACGGGGGGTACAGCGCTTGGAAAAGAAAGACAGGAGAGACACCTTTGCTGTCTGCACCGCGTTACACTGCACTGCACTGCACTGTACGCACAATCTTTATTTTAGGATTCATATATAGTAAACCCGATCAATTCACAGAGCCCAGATAATTAAGTAGTGAAAAGGCATTCTTTGTGGCAAGCTACAACGTGACAGACTACAATGTTTATTCTAAAACTATCTAAGTGAAGTAAATAATCACAACCAGTTCTCACAACTTCTCTAGCCCAGGAAGAAATTCATTAGCTCAAGAATGTTGTTAATTTGTCTGCTGTTAGTGTCACAAAGGGTGGCCAGCCACTTCCTCAAGACTTCTGCAAAACAAAGCCAGCTCACAGTATGGATTCCAGAGGGTGAGGGCTCACTGAGAACGGGCATTCCCGTTCTACCTCCTTCTCGCATACCAGGGCGGCTATTGTAAATTGCAGGTTAGAGGGGGTTGGGCCTACAAAGTGACACCTTATCCCCCACACTTCCTTCCTTTTTATTTTTTAACAACAATTTCCATAAGATCAGGTTATTAATAGCATTTCGTCTTATGCAGTAAAAATACACAAGAACTATGGCAATGAGAACTATAATTAAACTAAGTCCCATGCCACTAAAAGTGTGGGTAATGCTCTGCCAGATTCCTTTGGAATCTAATCCTTTCAAAGATTGAGCAAGCAATTGCGCGAATTGTGCTAGAGATTCATCATCATTTTGCTTTGCAAAATCCTTGTCAATTTGATTATGCAAAGATTCTATTTCCTCCTGGGCAGAGGTGTTTCCATTTAAATACATTCTAATCATTTCCCATTCATGTTCTGTCTGATTATAAGGTCGTTGGGTTATACAGAAAGTAGTTGAATTCCAATCACATTTTAAAAACACTTGATGCTGAAGAGCCAATATTTTTTTACCCATCCATTCAACTGTTTGTTTAAGGAGGTCTATTTGTTGTTGTAGTCTGGCGTTTATCTGCCACTGAGTTAACCAAAGTTCATGAGAATTCTCATGCCATAATTCGACAACATGTTTTTCTTGCAAAGAGGTTTGTAAAGCTACTCCTGAGACTGCTGCTAGAGAGGCTACAGTTATCAGACTTAACAGTACAGCAACCACTATTCCAATAAATCTTTTTGTACGTTTTAACAGATGTTTAAAAAATTCAGTAGTAACAGAAATTACCGGGTCTTGAGACCAAGGTCGAGTTAAATTTACAGGCAACCAAATATGAGTTTTTTGTTGTAACAGCATAACTGTATAAGGCTTAGTGAAATTTAGTGTGTTATTTAAGCATGTAAACAATTGACAATTTAAACAAGTACAAGAAAAATGTGTAAAATTAAAAGTTCCCACTAAAAAGACATAAGGCAGAGGTGCACAAACAGTAATATTATACATTTTAAACCTAGTAAAATTATAAGTAGTAGATACAGATCGACTAGTCCCTGAATATGAAACATTGTACAAGGTTACAGGTTGCATAGCGGCTGGGATCTTCCAAATATGATTTTGAAGGTGATGAGGGTATTCTTCGGCTGCAACAGCAGGGTTAGCGATTCCACCATCTCCCCACCACAAGAGAGCCGTCTTTTGTTGAAATATAGGAGCTCCGTCAGTTATTTTCTTTGGATCTGGAAGACTATACACAACAGAGAGATTACATCTTGTCTCATTCCATTCAGCACATCCATTAACGAATTTTCCAAATGGTCCCCAAATAATATACCCATCAATATTTTTAGCAAATTTTCCCATACATAGTTGCCAAATTATGGGATTATAAGAAATATTTTTATAAGTAAATTCAGGGCATACAGGAAATGTATTTGTATCAGGTGCTGTTAAATTTCTCCAGGTAACATTAAAGGTTTGAGCAGCCAAGGCTTGAAGCCTTGTCCTTTTGTTGCCTGCTTTTATTCCATGTTGAATCCAATACTGCCATCCCAGAGGGATGCAAGGCGGTTCCCCAATGCAAATAGGCCTTTGATTACCATAATAAGTAAAATTGAATAGTGTCCCATCATCTTGATTGTGGGGGGTTAAATCAGCCCACGGTGCTGACAAAATTTCTCTAGGTGTGGTATAAAGTAAAATATCACTAGTTCCCCATTTTACAGGTTCTAATAAAGGGGGGTTTGGAATATATGCCCAGTACGAATGCGGAGGTACCTCAGTCCCCGATGCAACGGTGAGCAAGGCACATAAAGCTAAAAACAAGTTTTCAGGGTTTAAAGGCTTTCCTGCTTGAAGGACAAGCCGTTGCCCTTCTATGGTCAATTTCTTTAATTGTCCCCATGTAGGGAGGGGATTTAAATTTGGTCGCTGTGAGCGGCGGGATTTTCTTAGCTGTAATCTGGCCATGGCTGCGATAGGAACAAACTCAGCATCCTCAGCTTCTAGCTGGTTTCGCGCTCGCTTCTGAAGGCACGGTTCCGGTTCCTTGGGGAGTTGTCTCCGGGGCTGGTGAACAGGATCTGGAGACGCGGGTCCTGATCCATCGTCCAGGGACCCACTGCTGAATTCCATTTTCTGTGGAGATATAACCAAAACCTTTCCCCCTATAGAGCAATGTGCCCCTCTCCCATTCAGCCTCTGGAGCTGTTTTAGTCCAAATAGGTTCATTAATCACAAAAGGCTGTTGTTGCTGTTCAAAATGTTTTTCAGCTCTTGTTAATATTTCACCTTGTGGTAAATTGAGAAAATTTAAAATAAACAATGCTTGATGCAGTAATGTTTTTGGACTGTTTTGCAATTTAAACAGTATTGGTATCTGAATATCCTCCTGACTCCTCCTTTTTAATTTTTTAATTTGCAATTTAAGAGTGCCATGTGCTCTTTCAACAATAGCTTGACCCTGGGGGTTATATTCAATCCCTGTAATATGAATAATATTATGGAGATCACAAAATTGTTTAAATGTTCTGCTAGTATAAGCAGGTCCATTATCTGTTTTGATTTTAGAAGGAATTCCCATAACTGCAAAAGTCTCCAATAAATGTACAATAACATTTTTAGTGGATTCTCCCTGTTGAGCAGTAGCCCATAGAAATGAAGAATAGGTATCAATAACTACATGTACATAAGAAAGCCGACCAAAAGAAGGTACATGTGTAATATCCATTTGCCATAATTCATTAGGTTGAGTTCCTCGAGGGTTGACACCTGCGGGAATAATTCTTAAATGTAATGGTCTACAAATAGGGCAGGCTTTTACAATTTGTTTAGCTTTTGTAAAAGGTATCTTATATTTAAGATGCAAATGTCCTGCATTTGCATGATTAAATTGATGTTCTTCAACGGGTGTGGTGAACATAACTAAGGAATCCACTGCATTGTTACCTGATACTAATGGTCCGGGTAACTGAGAATGAGAACGTAAATGAGTAATAAAATAAGAATGATTTCTTTTTTGAACATGTATTTGTAAATTTTGAAATAAAGACAATAAAGCAGGCTTATTAGAATATAACACAGCTGAATAGATATTTGTCACTACTCCAACAGAATAGGCCGAATCGGCTATAATATTAATAGGTTGGTTATGAAAATCTAAAAACACTTGTAATATAGCAAAAAGTTCATTTTGTTGTACAGAGTTAAAATTTGTCTGACGTACCCAGTAAGATTTTTGAGTCCAATATGCAGCTTTATTTTTAGATCCATCTGTAAATATAGTCAAAGCTTGTGGAATTGGCTGTACAGCTAATAAGGTATTAACCACAAATTGTTGACGTCTAAAAAAATCCCATAATTTACTTTTAGGAAAATGATATGAAAAAGTTCCCATGAAATCTGCTAAAGCAATTTGTAAGGTTTCAGAAATATTCCCATTGTTCCTTAGTTAAAGGGATAACTATATTGTTTATATCTTCTCCTATCAAAGTTATAGAACGAGCTCTACCATTCATAATTAAAGCTGCAACCATGTCAATATAAGGCATAACATTTTTAGATTGCTTAGTTTTAGTGAATACCCATTCTACTGGCATAGCATTTTGACCTAAAACTGCAGAGGGATATTGAAAAGTATTAATAATATATAAAGTTAGAGGCAATTTAGGATCAATCCTAATTAAAAATGCATCCTTAATTCGTTGTTCTACAAACTGTAATTCTTGCTCGGCTTTTGTTGTTAAAGAACGAGGGCTGGATGGATCTGAAGAGCCCTGTAGAGTAGCAAACAAATGCTGTAATGCATGGGTAGGAATACCTAGTGTGGGACGAAGCCAATTAATATCCCCTAATAATTTTTGAAAATCATTTAAAGTGGATAACTTATCTCTCCTAATAGACATTTTTTGTGGAATCACCTTTTGTCTAGTAAGAATATATCCCAAATAATGACTAACTTCTTCCTTTTGAATTTTATCCTGTGCTATTACAAGTCCAAACGGAGAAAAATATTGAGGTAAAGTTTTTAAAATATCTTCTAAAACATTTCTATCACTATATGAGAATAAAATATCATCCATGAAATGAGCCGTATAAACCTGAGGCCATCGTGCACGCACTGGTTTTAATGCTGCATCAACATAAATTTGACATATAGTTGGGGAATTTTTCATTCCTTGGGGTAAAGTCCTCCATTGATATCTTTGATAAGGTCTTTGATAATTTGTTTGAGGAATTGAAAAAGCAAACCGTTTTCTATCTTCTGGATGTAATGGGATGTTAAAAAAACAATCTTGCAAATCTATAACATATACAAACCAACCAGCAGGGAGCGCTGAGGGTAAAGGAATACCGGGCTGAAGGGCTCCCATTTGAATTAAGGATGAATTTACAGCACGTAAGTCCGTTAAAAGTCTCCACTTGCCTGATTTCTTTTTTATCACAAATATTGGAGAATTCCAAGGAGATGTGGATGGTTCTATGTGATGTAGAAAAAGCTGTTGATCAATCAATTCCTGCGCTGCCTGTAACTTTTGAGTAGTCATAGGCCACTGATCTATCCAAATTGGGTCATCATTTTTCCAATTAAGCTTTAAAGGATTCATTTCCCTAGGCTGTAGAAACATGCAAAATATTAAAAATGTATATAAGCTCCCCATTGTTCTAATACATCTCTTCCTAAAATAGAAACTGGTACCTCTAAGATATAAGGTTTAATAACAGCAACTTGACCCTCTTCATTTTTTATATGTATATGCATTGTGGCTTGTCCAATTGTATTTACTGGAGTTTTACTTACTCCTTTTATATTACATGGAATAATAGTATAAGTAATATGAGAAGGCCAATCAGTAGGTTTAACAATAGTAATATCCGAGCCTGTATCTATAAGAGCCTGAATTTTCTTATGCTCAATAAAAATATTAATAAGAGGTTGTTGTTGAGATAATTTAGCTGTCCACATTACATTAATAGGGTTAGTGCTGCCGAACCCTCCTGTTCGCTGAACAACAGAGGATCCTATTGGGATATAAGGCAGTAAAATGAGTTGAGCTATACGTTCTCCCTTTAATAATTTATAATCTGTAAGTGAGGACATCAGAATCTGAATTTCTCCAGTATAATCTGCATCTATAATTCCTAAGTGAACAGTAATGCCTTTTTGATTTAAACTAGATCTACCCGTGAGCAAGCCAAAAGTTCCCGCAGGCAGAGGACCAAAAATTCCTGTAGGAATTCTCACGGGAGATTGTCCTCCTCTTAATTCTACATCTTTTAAGGCTGGTATGTCCACTGCGGCACTGTGTTGGGTGGCTGGCTGTAGGGAGAATACGGTAGAGTTACCCCATTGATTTGTCCGGGGCCCGGGGTAGGGCCCGTTCTCCCGTTTCCCTTTTGTTCAGCTGAATTAACTTGTTTACTCCTGCATTCACGAGCCCAATGATTTCCCTTCTTGCATTTTGGACATAAGCCAGGAGCTCTAGATCTCTTTTTTTGATCATTGCCTACAAGTTTTGGACAGGCCCTCTTTACATGTCCTATCTGACCACAATTAAAACATTTTAAAGACTGTTCCTTTTTAGATTGCCAATTAGTCCACGTGGTTGCCATGGTCTCAGCAAACAGTTGCATTTTCCTAGATTCTGAATTTAAATCTTTACATTGTTTTATAAAATTGTCAATCGTTCCAGTATCTTTTATTGGAATTAAAGCCCTTTTGCATTCATCATTAGCATTTTCAAAAGCTAACATTTTTAAGAGATGCTCTTGTAAGTCTTGTCCCACTACTGTTTTTTCTATAACATTTTGAAGTCTTGCAACGAACTCAACATACGGTTCATTGGCTCCTTGCAGAACTTTAGCCCAAGATCCATATTCTGATCCTTTAGGCCGTATTTTATCCCAAGCTTTTAAAGCAATATCTTTTAATTGAGCATGAATCTCTCTTGGAGCTCCTGCCTGATGCTCAACAGTATCAAAGAAACCTGTACCAGAGAGCATGGGATAAGAAAGGAGTCTAATATTCGGATCTCGATCGTCAGCATTTTGTCTTGCCTTTTCCGCACAACCTTCCATAAACCACATGTGCCACTGTAAATATTCTGGCTCCTTTAAAAGAATTTTGGCCAAGGCTTTCCAATCATAAGGAGCAAGATTACCATAGTGATCTGCTACTGATGTTATTAATTCTCTAGTGTAATGAGCCTGAGGGCCATAAAGGGTTACAGCCTTTTTTAATTTTGCTAAATCATCCATATTAAATGCTTCCCATCTAGGGGGAACTGCCTCTCCATCTATTGGCTGAGGCCTGATTACAGGGAAAGCAAAGGCAGGCTTTTCCTCATCAGAATCCCCTAATTTTGGTAAATCAGCCAAAGCTAGCTTGGCTTTACTCCAATTAGGGTTAGATGGAGGAGGTGCAGAGGGAACTACAGGCGGGTTCTGCTTAACGGAGAGTTGTTTCACCTCTTGTGTTAAATGCTGTATAGCCTGTAAAATTGGGCGATTGTCATAATTTGATATTGCTGCGGCAGCTAAAGCTGAGTCGGCTGTAGCGGATTTTACTTTTGGTTTGGACGCCTTTTCACTACTTAAAGCGATAGCGTCATTTTGAACTACATTCTGCTCCTCCTCTGTGAGGGGCAATTCCTGAATAACTGGCTTAATTTCTAGTTGAAGATTTTCTACAATATGTTCATCTTCCATAGCTTTTAATAAAGAGTACACAACCGACCAAATAGCCCAAAAACGTAAAGGAATCTTTTCCTCCTGTTGCATAGCCCTTTCTATACTAACCCTTGCCTTCCTCCATACTTCTACATCCAAAGTTCCTTCATCTGGAAACCAAGGATTATATTCTTTAATTGTATCAATACACATATCCAAGTCAGCTGACCTGAGCGATATGCCATATATAGATAATAAATGTTTAAGAATTTTTAAGAAAGGAGAGGAAGCAGATTGTCCCATTTCCCCGTAATAAAATTATACTTACCTTCCTAAGCGACCTTCGGAGTCCCTGAATTCGGGCGCCACTTGTCGTGAGTGTCTAGAGCACTCTGAACTCCGGGCAAGGTAAACACGCACGCCTTGTCGGGACACGGGGGGTACAGCGCTTGGAAAAGAAAGACAGGAGAGACACCTTTGCTGTCTGCACCGCGTTACACTGCACTGCACTGCACTGTACGCACAATCTTTATTTTAGGATTCATATATAGTAAACCCGATCAATTCACAGAGCCCAGATAATTAAGTAGTGAAAAGGCATTCTTTGTGGCAAGCTACAACGTGACAGACTACAATGTTTATTCTAAAACTATCTAAGTGAAGTAAATAATCACAACCAGTTCTCACAACTTCTCTAGCCCAGGAAGAAATTCATTAGCTCAAGAATGTTGTTAATTTGTCTGCTGTTAGTGTCACAAAGGGTGGCCAGCCACTTCCTCAAGACTTCTGCAAAACAAAGCCAGCTCACAGTATGGATTCCAGAGGGTGAGGGCTCACTGAGAACGGGCATTCCCGTTCTACCTCCTTCTCGCATACCAGGGCGGCTATTGTAAATTGCAGGTTAGAGGGGGTTGGGCCTACAAAGTGACACCTTATCCCCCACACAGAGTCACCCTGGAAATAGAGAGTATGTCTGTGAACCAGTGCACCACCTCTCACTTCCTTTATCCCAAATTCCCTCATGCAGTACTGATTGTAATGTCTCCTTGGGAGAGTTTAGAGGGAACTACAGGCTCTTAGCTGCTGAGCGCTGACTATGGACATTTTCACTCTTGTAGCAGCCTTTGTCTTCATCCCCAGGTCTGGACCTCACCCCTGTAGAGTTGTGAGGACTATTGATTACAGGCCAGGAACACTGATGAGCAGTTCCCACACTCAGCACAGAGAATGAGTTCATTGACCAAGAGGGCTGCCGTCTCAGAGGAGAATATGTAATTCCTGCACACCAAGGAAACATTTTTGTGGTTCCTGTGCCATGAGCTCAGGCAATGTGTTGCAAACTGAAGCTTCCAGTGGGGTTTCCTTCACCAGAGGCCCCTTAGTAAAGTGGTAGCGGCTCTATTACTTCCCAGCTCAGGAAGCTGCCTTCTTCTCTTTTCTGGGAGAAACACCACAGCATACGGGGTGATAGAATTCATGATACTTGGGTCTCCTGGTACTAGATCTGTCCCAAACACTCTTTCCCACAAAGCCAGGTGTAAAAGATGCCTAGTCTTACCTGAAAAGAAGCGTTTTTAATCTTTGGGTCTCCCACACAAATCTCAGTAGCCCGATCATAATGCTTTGGAAAGAGATCCTCACACTTGTCGTCCTTTTGTGCTACCATCTCCACTTCCTGCAGTGTGCTTGGAAATCTTCCCTCTGGGGACAATTGTCCCCATCCAGCCACCTGGCACCGGGTACCTGGCTTCACCTGGGTCATCCTCTTGGGCAGCTTGAGGAGCTGCACAGCTTTAGTCAGCTTGGCCTTTTTCTCCAGCTGGTGGAAAATAAGTAAGGAAGTCCAGTTCAGTGTATGCTCCTGGGTATGCACAGTGTGATGGATATGATGGCAAAGAGGGCAGGGGCAGGGTGCCAGTGGGAGTGGCAACCATTCTTGAGGAGAGCAAGAGTGACAAGGACATGTGCCTTACCTTCAGCAGCATGATGTCGTTGATGCGTTTATTCTGATTATAGTCTGGGTGGGAAAACGTGTTTTGTACATGGAAGACCTGCTGGGTGTTCTCTTGTTCCTTGATGTTGTGAGCCCCCAAGGTGACTTCTATTTGGCTGTACAGAGAGGGAAGTGGATTGGTGGATGGGGAGCAACAAAAGACACAACCCAGGAGCTCTAAAAGCAGGCCACAGCTGATACAGGATACAGCTGTAGATGACAGAGGGCAGCCTGCCTGAATTACTGTTCCTCCTTTTTAGTACCGAGGGAGGGCACCTTGAGCACCAGAGGTTCTCAGTGGTCAGTGCCTCCAGGAAAGTACATGAAACTGCTTTACTTTGCTTGGTTATGCCAAAGCATGGTTCTGGGTCTACATGTAATCAGGTTTGATTTCCCAAGTTTTCCTTGTATCAGGAATTCTTTGGAGCCACATTGCTTCTCTCCCCTTGAGAAATGAGGACCCTTTCTCACCCTCACCAGTCCTCCTCATGTATATGTCCATGAGCTCAGCGAGCTCCCCAGCAAAAGGGCTCTGAGAAGTGTTTCCTGTAGACTGTAAACTGTTTTTCCTTTCTCACCTCCCTAAACAGTGAGCAGCTGTCAGCACAAAGTCCTCTTGAATCAGGAAGCCACCACAAATGTTTCTAGAATTGATCTTAAGGTAAGCCATGTAGGGGCGGGAGTGGGGTTTGGCTTCATGTCCCCCGATGATCTCTCCTGAAAACAAGAAGAAGACTGGGTGCAGCCACTGAGTCCCTGAACAAGTGTCTATTTACAGTCTCTTAGCAGTTGGGCATATGGGAGCCTGCAGTTGCCTGAAGTGGACAGGAACCTAGAGGAAGATGCCTCAACTTGTTTTCCAAAGTGCAGGAAATTGCGTCTTTTTCTACAAATCCTTTTCCTCTGTTTGATTGGAGATGACTATATGTATCAGGGGAAAATAAAACCCCTGAGGATTTTCCTCATTCCTCTGCTTACTTTTTACTTCCCTTCAGTAAATAAATCCCTTCTGAGTCCTGTGATGTCTATGATGGTGATGCTTCCTCATGGCAGGCCTCTAGGTGTACTGTAGGTGAGGTCTTATCCTCTTTCCTAGGACCTGACCTGTAGAGGGTGTCTCAGAACAGTTCCCTGGCAGCATGAAGGAATAGCTGCAGTTAGTGTCTGGTTAGTAGAGCAGTGCAGATGGGATTCTGGAAGCAGAGAAGAGTGAGTCTGCCTCTGTCGCTCCTACTGGAAAACAGAGGAGCCACTGAATTCTGGAGGAGGAAAGCAAATCTGGAGAAAGTTAATAGGAGTGAAGAGAGGCAAAAAAGGTGTTCTGAGGACAGAGATTCCATCTATTCTGGAGTCACTGAGCTCTGGGCATCTCTTCTAGGCAGTTGCTGAATGCAAAGCCTTTCCCCTCCACTGACCTGGATGACAGGCCTATTGTGCCCTGTTTAAGACTATCTGATATTTTCTCCTTTTTACTTCTCACCTGCATGAATGTTGAAGAAAGACTCTTTCTAGATGTGCAAGCTGAGGCTTACTAAGGGCACAGTATCCACTGGCTCTTCTTGAGAACAAACTGTTAGCTTATGCAGTGTCCTACCTGAGGCGTTCGGATGGAATTGGAGTTCAGATTCAGAGCAATGCTGGCAGACAGAAGGCTCTGGGGGTGTTGCATAGGGACAGGAGATTCATGTGCTCTGTGCAAGAAGATTGGGCCTCTGGAGGGAGGAGATGGTCACTCACCTGACTCTGCTCTGGGGAGCAGAAAGAAGGCCAACAGGGGCAGGAACAGCTGCATCTTCTCAAGAAGCAAGAAGCATCTCCAAGTCAGAGCTTCTGAAGATTTGTCCATGTTGTCTTTAAGACCCCAGCAGAGGAAAGGGGAGGAGTTTGCTCAGTGACCTCATGTTTGCCATTGGTTTTGTGGTGCTTTACCCTGAGAGGCTTTCTAAAAAAACACACTACTGCCACTGCCTGCTCTCATCATGACATCTTTTAAGTGTGTGAGACTCATACAATGACCACAGCTGGTGAGTCAGATCAACTCATGTGTTCCTGTCCTCACCAGAAACCAAGGCGTGCAAGGTGAGTCTGTAGGATGTGGTATTGGCCAGGACATTCTCAGAAACCTGGATTCCCAGTGACAGAATTATCAATGCCAGGTTTCATCAGGGTAGTTTTAGAAGCATTTGAGTATTAGGACCTTCTCTTGTGCTAGGAGCAAGCATGCTGGAGAGTGAGCTGCCCATCTGGTGAAAGAGACAGAAACCCAGTAACCCTACTTCAGGAAGGCCAGAGTGGATCGATATACTTAGGAATAACAAAGCACAACCATCATCCACTCAATCTACCTGGTGACACTGACATCATCATAGCCTCCTTCCAAGGGAATCCTAAACATCTCCTATTTAATTATAAGCATTCAGCATGATGGAGTCAGCCTCTCTTCTCAATATTTTTAAACAAAGTGTCTGCACTTGGCATTTTTGGTCTAAATTGGCCAATTGCTGTGAGTCCTTGCAATTCAGTCTATGTCTTGACATAGGTTACTCCCATTGCTTTGGTTGTGCTGTTGTGGATCCCAGTAGAACCTCCTAAACTAAATATGGAGGTGTTTGGGGGTGTATATCAGGATACTGATCTCTTGTTTTTAGGGCTCCTTGTCTTTTCTCTTCTTCCCATTCTATAGGAATTGAGAGTTGCCTTGCTCCATGAAATCCTTCTGCCATAGTGTTCCTGTTTTGAAGCCTGCCTGTCTGAATCCACTGCATCTCTGTTGCTCAAGGGCCAGCTGTAGGTGTGAACAATTTGATTTGGTGATATAGGCTTCCTGTTCATGTTTTACATGTTTTTCTATAAGGAATATTACACTTGAGAAGAAAAAATTCCAGTGTATATTTCTTTTCAATGGAGGAACATCAAAGTTTATCAAAGCTGAGCTTGTTTTTAACTTAACTTTCCCAGTAGTAAATAATCAAAAGGCAAAATTTTCTTTCTGACTGTAATTATAAAACATATTCATTAAGAAAATTCACAGAGAAGGATGGAAAAATAACAAGCATTTATCTATCTCCCCCAGACAATTGAAAATTTTATTATACATATTTCTGTTACATAATGATTATACTTATTGTGGGAATTTTGTATGTAATCCATCTTATTTCTTCTTGTCCTCTTGTCTCTTCTCTTTCCCCTCCTTACAACGATTAGTCCTCTTCTTATCTGAAAATAATCTATCACTGTTTCTTGTTATGTATCTTTTATTTGACGCTTTAATTCATTTATACTTTAGGTTTCTTATAAAAGAAAAACCATGTGATATTTAATGTTGTGTTGATAGTTTATTTCACTTAACATTGTGGTCCTAAGTAAAACCATTTTCTATGAATGACTCATGTTTGTCCTGCTTATAGAAGAGTAGTACTCCATTGTGTACAAAGCTTCATTTTTAAAAATGCATCTGTTGCTGGACAGACAAACAGTGTGCTTCTAAGTTATAGCTGTTATGAATTGTGCTACTATGAACATGGATATCTGTATATCACTGTAATAAGATTTCTCACTCTTTTAGGAAGATAGGGAAACTGCTATCTTTAGAAGGGAGACAACTGGGCTGAAGAGAAGTTTACTTTTAATTTTCTGAGGAATCACTGTACTGATTTCCACAGTCTTATAAACAGCCCATTAAACTTATGTGGTGAGCATATTAACTCAGGGCAATGCTTTTATATACAATGAAATTTACTTCCTATTGTACTCATTCTTAATTAATCTTAAAATTTAAACATTTTAACCACATTTAAAATATCCAGTTAGTCAGTATTATCTTAATAATTGTTTCATAGTGTTATTAAAAATTTAATATGCAATAAATTTGTAAAGTAAATTTAAAAAACAACATAAACAAAGTATAAATATTAAAACTCTACCAGCACCTTTTGCTCAGTGGCATAAACAATTAAAATTACCTGATTTTCTTCACTCATTAATATTTAGCTTTAATGTTTTGAAATATGATCTAATACATTTTTCATTGTTAAATTTAACAAGGGATGATGCTAAACATATTTATGACTCATTTTTAAAACTGAGGGGAAGTTAACATGTCACATGTGTAACTATTTTCAAGCATAAAATTCAGTAGAATTTATGGCATTCAAAATGTGCATTTGGAATTTCAAAATATTTTTAGCACCTCAGAACATTGTATAAATATTAAATGATTGCTCTGCATTTAGCTTTTTTTCACCGTCCTGCTCACTGCACTGCTAATCTTTTTTCACTATGCACTTCTCTATTTTGAATATTGCATGGTTGGATCATGTTTCTGAAATCATTCTTTAAAACTTTGGCAAGTTTAAACTATTTATATATAAACATATTACTTATAATGAAGGTCTTATTTCTGGCATTGTGGTACTTGTTTTTTATGTCATGTGTTTTTCACTAATCAGTTCTTTCCATAGTGCCTTGTCATTTCTTATAGGCTGGCACATTTAAAAATTCGGGACATACACTTTTTTGGTTTGTTTGTTTCTGGTTGTCCTTGAGGTTGAATCCAGGATCTTTAGACTGAGATACATCTTATATTTCTCTTTAGTTTTTATTTTGAGACAAGATTTCATTAAATTGCTTTGGCTAGGTCTTAGGTTTCTCCTGCAGCAGCCTTCCAGATTCTTGGGACTGCAGGCATCGGCCTCTATCCCTCACTTATTGCTGAGTGATGAAGGACAGATTTTTTAGATGTAGAATCCTTGGTTGACGGTTTTCTTTTTCTTTTTTCTTGGTACTGAGGATTGAATTTACACCCTGCACTTGCCAGGCAGGCACTGTGCCCTTAAGCTATATATACTGCCCAACAGGACTTTATTTCTGCACTGTAAGGAGATGGTCCCAGTGCCTTTGGCCCTTAAGGTTTCTGATGTGAGATCAACTGTTAATCTCATTGAGAACCATTTTCTGGGCTGAGTCACTTCTGTTTGGCTGTTTGGAAGGTTTTCTCTTTGTGTTGTAACAGTTTCCTTGTAGTAAGTGCCCTTTTGAGTTTTGAGTTTAACCTGCTTAGAAATTTTGAGCTCATTGGGGTTGTATATTCTTATACTTCATCATATTTGGGAAGTTTGGGTCCAATGTTTATTGGAAATGTTTTTGATTTTGAAATCATCTTTCTTTCTTCAGTATTTTGAACTTCCATTCTCTCTCTCTCTCTCTCTCTCTATATATATATATATATATATATATATATGTAATATATGATATTGAATGATATATAATATATATATTTTATATATATATATATATATATATATATATATATATATATGATATACATGATATTGAATGTGTCCTATAGACCCTTAGGCTTTGTTCATATTTCTTTATTTCTTTGTTTTCTCAGACTGAGTTATTTCATTTTTATGAAAATTTCACTAGTTCTTTTCTTCTCTTTGTTCAGATCTGTAGTTGGACTTTGTTAGTGAACTTTACATTTCAACTATCATGCTTTAGCTCCAGATATAAACATTTTTATTTTTATGAGTATTTTTTTACTTTTTTGTACATCGTGTCTGGTTTTATTTCGTTATTTGTAAGTTCACTTCAGGGTTTCAGTATTTTAAAGTAGGCGGATTTAAAACTTTGGTTAGTCTATCCAATGCCTTAGAGGTTCAAAAATGTTTACATAAAACTCAATTTTGTGAGTGGGTAATACTTTATTATTCCTTTTTATTCTCTGTAATTCTTTGCTCAAAACTAGTCATTGAGTGTATTGTAAATGTGAAAGTTTCCTCACAATGTAAAGTCTATTTTCCTTTCCATAGCATTTTGTTTAAACAGGGCCCAAAGTTTATACTTTATCTTTCTACAGGGATGGGTTCTTTCTCTTCTCATTTTTCTCAGGGTCTCATGCTGTGAACATTCTCACCACATCTATGAAGGATGTGGCAGATGTATATTTTGTGGTAGGTAAGAAATGTGCTGAATCATTTACCGAAATGTCCAGTGTATGATTGTAAAATTGATGTTAAAGAAACCTTTGTATCTCTAACTTCTGCTTGCTAATTATTGTGGTGTATCTTTATTATCTTGCATTGGTATGACAGACCACAAATAGAAATCCCTCTTCTATTTGGCTTCTGTTCCCAACTAAAAACTCAAGACCAACCTAATGCATATACGTAAAAAGAGCAGGCAGTCTAGACCATTCCAGGCTGCCCTTCAAGGTGTGCTCTGTTTGAAATTAGGTATTTCAGAAAACTGAGAACATTGTTGTCATTGTATATGTCTAAATATTCCCACAAATCCTCATTCAGTCTTAAATGTGGCTTTTTTCAGTATGCAGAATGTGTGACACTGAGATTGATTCATGGTACAATGCTAAGGTCAAGGACTTTGGGATTAAGTGTGTGAGTGATTCCTGTTCTGTGTAACCTGGATAAAATACAAGGCATAGAAAGTGCCATGGTTGTCCCTTGTCCAGTTTTTTTGAATTCTCCCTGCCTTGAACCGCTTTCACTCTGCAATGCCTCTATGCCTTGCCACCCTGTCTGGAAATCACTCAGCTATGGACTGAAAGCTGTGCAAATTGGGAGTTAAATAAACCTATTTCCCTTGCAGGTTTTGTGTTGGGCATTTTGTCTTATTCATGAAAGAAAAGTCGTCCTGAGAGTTGTATTGGTGGCACAGTGCTAGGGTGACTTACTGAGAAACCAATTGCTTCCTTATTGTCATTAATTCTGTATGCTGAATCACTTGCCCAAACTTTCAAGAGGAGACTTTATACTGTAGCCTGGAACACTCAGAAGTATTTATGGACTACAGTAAATTCTCCAAAGCTTTGTATCTCTCCTTGAGGCTCCA